AAGTTTCAACTTTCTGAGGAATTCCATTATACAATATAATTTCTTAAAAATCGACAATAGGTCCGAAAATAAAAGAAGATGAATGGCCGAAAATAAAGTAAAAATGAAAGTTTTTCAGCTCTGATTTATGACATGATTGACATGCAGATACTCGACGAAACTTTGTCGCTTTTAACTTTACTTTTTAACTATTAAAAGCGACAATAGCAGGTGCTATAGTGACTATAATAATTATGCATATTTGTGCCTTATGAAAATTTGACTTCAAACGTTGCCGTCGACAACGTACTGATTCAAAGTCTATTCGTATATCCATTGCAGTAATGTTTGTTTTTTGAATTTTTTTTCATAAAAATTCAATGTGAGCAAGGATGACGGAAATACAAGAGTATATAGCTAGCCTCATTTATCTTAAAAGTACGTTGTAATTAATATTATAGCAATCCGATTCTCTCCAGTTTTTACACAAAAGCTTTCGGATTAGGGTAGGGTTCGTAGAAAATCTCTTTGTTTAGATATTTCCAGGAAACACTGCATGGGGAGAAACGAAGGAAAAGGATTTAAGGTTTACAGCGTTTAGGTATTATATTATTTCTATATCCATTCCGCATATAGCGAAAAAGAAAAATGGCATTCTCGTTATTTTTACCTGTGTCGAAATTTTTAAAATTTGACTTTAGATTCTTCGTCAGTTTCTCTATTAGTGATGGCCGTTTAGTCAACGTCAGGTAACAAATTTGATTCAGGAATCGTCGTCGTCGTCGTGGGTGAGATACAATTATTGCGGATTGTTAAAGATGGGGCTCGCGGTTTATTTCCTAAAATTATTCGCGGGCGGGATCAGAGAGTCCCCGCACTCGCACGGTTCCGGCGTGCACCGAATTAGAAGTATTTCGCGCCGGCTGTCTTTATATTGGCACTGACACGCCGCGTGCTCTCGAAGATCCGGTTTCACTTGGCTCGCAGGCGGGAAGATATTCCGCGACGCGAGTGCGAAGCCGATTCGAGATTTCTTATTATATTGTCACTTCTCACGGCGCGTAACGTGGCGGCAAGTTATACGCGGGCGTATAACGAGATATGAAATTACGCCAGTACCGAAAAGATAATCTCGGATAAGCTAGAAAAAGTCCCTGAGCCACTCGAAAGTCAAACCGATCAACCAAATTTCTTTTTCCAAATTGCTTTTTCTAAATTTCTTAATTTTAATACCAAAGCATGCGATTTACAATTTCATTAGTTTTTTTCTGCTTTTTATTTAATGGTCGATCTCACAGAGTACGTTAGCGTTCAGCTACACATACTTGGACTTGCCGAGCAAAAGAATCGTTGCTTGTGCGGGGAAGAGAGTAATAAGAACAGTTAGATATTCTTTATCGCTGTCCTGTAGGTATATGGTTCCAAAAGACACGGATCCTGGGGCTTTATGTTTCTTGAGCTAAGAATCTAAGAAGAAAAGAGGATGAGTCTCATAAGCCTGCTACAAACACTAGGCTGGAATTGACTTACAATACAAGTTTCGAAAACCAGCGGCGTCACAGAGCAAACATGGTTAAAATTGTATTCAAACAATAAATAACAAATAGAAGAATCAAAACATAATTCATCCGTAAATGACAAGTAAATTCTTATTTGGTTAACAATTTATTCGATTAAACAATAATTTAAATAAATTTTTATCTAAATAATTATTTGAAA